ATCATGGGGTCCTTACAAATGAGGGAAGGGGGGCAGAGAGCCAGCCTTAGAGGGACGCGTGTGAGAAACACTCCACCACCTGTCACGGGTTTTGAAGATGAAACAGGGCCGCGAGCCAGGGATTCACGCAGCCTCTACAAACTGGAAAAGCCTAGAAAACAGATTCTCCCCTGGAGCCTGCAAGAAGGAATAGAGCCCTGCCGATGTCTTGATTTTAGCCCAGTGAGAATTTTCTGGATTTCTGACTCCCAGGACTGTAAGGGGATAACTTCGTGTTGTTTTAAGCTGCTCTCTTTACGGTAATTTGTTACAGTGGCCACAGAAAATGACCGTAGGTACAAAGCTGGTCAATGGCAGAGCCCAGCTCGGCCGCGGCTCCTTCCACCCTGAGCCCTGCTGCTCCACTGTTTCTGCTCGATGACACCGAAGGTGACCTGGGCCATTCCCCTGCCTCTAGACTGAACAGTCTCCGTGAGTCACACTGCGCAGGCCCTCACCCACCGAGGGGAGATATTTTCTCACACTTGGCCTCTGCCACCCACAGGGCAGCATGAAAACCAGAGTGAAGGCTCACACCCAACGTGTAAGCAGACTGCCATGCAGGAGGAGCGGACTTGTCATTTTTAAGAACAACTGCCACCTCAGCATGGGTGCCTGACCCCATGGGGGAGATGGGGAGGCCATGGAGCCACTGAGCTGCTCTGAGATAGAATATAAGAAACCAGACCTGCCTCTGGCTGGGCTTCCGGGAGGAGACATTCAAACAGGCCCAGGAGGCTGGCTAGGCTTCCTCTAGCAACCAGTCAGCCCAGCTGTATGGCAAAGCAGGATGGGCTGAGATGGGGGGACCCCGCTCCGTGGAGCCAAGCCTCTCCTGGCTTTTGGGGAACTGTTCCCAGCTCTCACTAGAGCAGGGAAAAGGCCTCTCAGCAGAGAGCAGCAGGGCGGACAGGCAGCATTGGACCAGAGGACTTGCCTGGACACAGACAGGGGAGCTGGACTCTAACAGCAGGACTTGGGGAAGAGCCGGAGTTGACCGCCCTCCGAGTCCTGCCAGGCAGCCGGGTCCCAACGTGGGAAGTCACAAGGGCTGCCTGTCTGGGTTTTGGCTTTTCCAGACACAGCAATGGCTCAGGGTGCAGCAGACTCTAGTCTCTGCCACTTGACTACTCAAAACCCTGCCTGGCTCTCCGGGCCTTGAGGATGATCCTTCCACTATTCTCTGCCACTCGTGTGTATGTGTAAATGTGCGCGTGTGTGATCTCTTCCTACCTAGACTAGCCTCTTGGCCAGGGGACTTTGCCCAAAGCATTCCCAGGTGCCCCTTCAAGTCTAGCACACAGCCAATACCAGAGATGAGTCAGGTGCATGCTTGGCCAGGGCACACCTGTTTGCACTGCCTGGTCCTTTCAGGTCGATGACTGAGCTTGTCCCATGTGTGGGCAGAAGCAAAGGCCAGCTCTCCGGGCCCGAGCTCAGCTGAACATCTTCCATCCTGTCATGTCATTGTCCCCAAACACCCACTCCCAGCCTCATGATTAAAATGCCAGCAAGGACTGCCTGCATGGGTTATGGGGAATGCCTGAAACTCGGGCTGCTGATCTTCAGATCCTAAGGCGTCAAAAAACTCCCAAAGGGAAGAGAATGAACGGTGGGGGTATTTTCATAGATTTTTGCTATTAAATGAACACACACAAACACACACACAAACATGCGGTTTGATTGCCCATTTGAATCTGCTAGAGAAACGTGGGAGGATTTTGTGAACAGATCCTGTGCACCCAGGAAAGCAAAATGCATCTTGGTGTGAACATGAGGACTCTCAATGTGACTGCGGCGGAATCTGGAGTTTGGTTGGTTTCTGCAGGAACACATCTTGCTGTATTTTGACAGAAATACATGGGGGAAAAGAATTCAACATGCCCATATTTACTTTTTAGGCGCCTTCCCAGGGCTGCACTGCCAGCATGGAGCACAGAGCGAGGGCGAACTGAATCAGTGTGCGCTTGCTCATGTGCCACTGTGAACGCCTAGGTTGTGCAAGTGAGCAGGTTTCTTTCTTGAGAGTGAGGGCTGCATTCCTGCCCCCTTTTAAATCTGTCTGTTCCCCTCCTGCCCTTTCCAAAGGGCCTGGCGCAGACGTAGATGTTTGAGTGGATGTAAAGATGTAAGTCAACTATGGGAATAGAGTTTCAGTTTTGCAAGATGAAAAAGTTCTAGAGATTACACAGCAATGTGCATACAGGTAACATTACTGTTCTGTACACTTAAAAATGGTGAAGATGTACATTTTATATGTTTTTTTACCATAATAAAAAAAATGTAAGCAGAGAGAAAGTTCACAATTCAAAACATGAGATCTGTGTGCATTAGAAAGGTATGCCCAGCTGGAGTGGCTCAGTGGTTGAGTGTTGACCTATGAACCAGGAGGTCATGGTTCAATTCCCGGTCAGGGCACATGCCTGGGTTGCGGGCTCGATCCCCGTTAGGGGGCATGTAGGAGGCAGCAGATCAATGACTCTCTCTCATCATTGATGTTTCTAGCCCTCTCTCCCTCTCCCTTTCTCTCTCTGAAATCAATAAAATATATTTAAAAAAGAAAACAAAAGAAAGAAAGGCATAGTGACTGCTAATAGGCAGGGGGTTTCTGTTTGGGGTGATGACTTTTATGTGAATTATATCTTGACTAAAAAAAATGTATGGAAAAGCCATAGATTCCTAGGCCTCACACTGGGGATTGTGGTCTGGAAAGGCTAGGAATCAGCAATTTTAATAAACTTTCCAGGTGAGACGGAGGTGGCGCTCACAGACTGACATTTGGAAACAACTGCCTGGGGCAGTGTGTTCAGGAATCCTGGAGACCGTGCTAAAACACAGGTTAGGCCCGAGATTCGGGGATTCCTACAAGATCCTAGTGATCCTGTGTACCACACTTTGAATGGCAAGGCTCAGGGCACAGGGGCTGCTCCTAAACCCCATGGATCTAGGCCCCTCCCTCTCCGCCAGTGGCCCGAGCCCACCAAGGGGCGCTGTTGAGGGCCTGCAGTACCTGCCATCCATCCCAAGGCAGTGGAGTGCCAAGGCAGCGGCTAGGAGCCCAGCACAGGGCCTCTCCCATGCTGAGCCACTTCCCTGGGGCAACTGTCCTGAGAGATACAGGTTGGCTCAGAGCTCTCAGGGCCAGTCCTGCTGGGTGGCACCAGAACCTCATAGCTTCAGAACTACTGTCCAATGGAAACCTCTGGCCAGGCTGGGACCTCCAGTGCCCCCACTGCCTCTCTGGCCAACCTGCCTCCCTGGCCTCATCGGCCCCACACAGCCCCCCCAGGGCCGTGCAGGAGCCCTGGGGCTGCTGCTGCATCTCTGGGGGCTGCTGTGGCTGCCAAGCAGTGCTGGGTTGGTTAGATACCAGGAGGAAAGCCCCGGGGAGCGGGGAGCTGAGCAGGCTGTCAGCAAGGCCACGCCCTTGGAGTGAGGCAGCAGTCAGGCTCAGAGCAAGCAAGGAGGCTGGTCTTCCCTCTTCCCGCTGCCTGCCCCACTGTTCTCACCAGGCTGTGCCCACACACCTGCAGGAATGACGACTGTTCCTGTAGCAGTCTTATCACTCTTAGGAGACGATAACACTCCTGAGGGTCTTATTCAGCTTAATGCCCCCAGGGTGCCCAGCAAAGTCCCTGGCATCTACAGGGGGCTTGGGACCAGTGGAAGAATGGCTGAAAATGAAATCTAGAACCGCTCTTGCCTCACAAAGTCAGATGCAGCTGTGAACGGCAGGCTGCCGCCTGAATACGGCCCCGCCCCACGGATGTGTCTGCCCACCCTGCTGAGGCCACCATCACAGCCCGAGTGTGGGATTTTCCCTGGACTTACATGTGTCTCAGCAACCTCACAAGAAATGCAGGGGCGAGAGGAGGAGGGGAGAGAGAATCTGTATGCAGAGAGCCAACTCAGCAGGGAGCCCCTCCAGTTAACCCTGGGATGAGGATAGGGCATGGGGCCCAGGGGGACAGAAAGTGGGGCAAGGAAGGAGCAATCCTCACCCCTGCCCGGGCAGGAAAACCCCTGAGCCATCAGCATGGGCCTTGGTTACTTTGTCCCTCACTGAGCAGCTGTTTTTTCTGAGCTTCCTGCCCGCCCAGAGGTTAATGGGTGAGGTCTCTGCCTTGACCACCCAGAGTGGGGAACTGAGTGGGACCTTCGGGAGCTCCACTGGGACAGCCCACCACACCCACAACTAATCACACTGCTGGGCCCAGCAGCATGGATTCCATTAAGGGCAGAGCCAGCTGCCAGTCAAAGGAAGGCTGCCCAGGCCATCCTGGTAAAACACGACGCCTGTGGCTCTGCAGCCAGCCCCACCCTCTCCCAGAGGCTCTGTCTGTGGGCCCCTCTTCTGAAGTCTGGAGAACAGCTGTGATTGGGTACTGGCACCCCGTCCCATGGGTGGTCCAAAGACCAGTACATGTCCCTTATGACAGGGCCACACTCCACAGCTCTCCTCTGCAGCCTGCAGCTTTTTTAGGCTGTGGTTTATATAATTGAATGCTAACTAGAGTTCTTTGAGATACTCAAACTGCAAACATTTTGTCAACACCTAATCAAAAAGCAAGCATTGCCTCCCTCGAAAGATGCCCACGTGCAAATAAAGCAGAGGTCTCTTTATTGGGAAGTGGTTTCTCCTTGGCTGAGCCCTGGTGACCTGCTTGAGGTGCCAGCAAGTGGGTGGGGAGATGTGGGGCTGAGACGGTACAGTGGGAGGGGACACCTGGAACTATTATCAGAGCCAGGGGACACTGACAGGCCTCACTTCTTCTGGGATGCTTAGTAGCTTAGCTTCTAGGATGTTTCTCTACTGAAGAAACAGAGCAGGGTTTCCCAAACTCATGTGCCTGAGAATCCACCGGGACCTTGTTAAAATGCAGGTGCTGACTGGCAAGTCTGGGGTGGGGTCTGAGAGTCGACAGGTCCACCCAGCTCCTGGGTTGGTTACTGTGCTGTTTGTTTGGCCAGGAACTGGCACTACTCTCAGCCTGAAGCACCCTGTGCACCCCCCACATGGAGCCCAGAGAGCACGCATGGCAGGGACGGCCCGTAAAGGATATGAATGAACCAGGATCTTCACGGCCGCTCTCCGGATGGGGTGGAAGGGGCTGAGAACATACAAGGCGTTGGTGGCACTGAACCGGAAGATGGTCTTGCCTTTGTTCAGCACGATGAAGGTCTGCGGACAGAGAGCTGCTTTAGGTCGGGGTGGCAGTCCCTGGGCCCTTGTGGAGACAGGTTTGGGGGGCAGCTGTTGGCTCAAAACACTAAAGCCCTGGATAAGGGGTGGGATGGGAAGGAGAGAGGGCGTGAGGGAGGGGTGAGGGTTGTGGGGAGCAACATATTGAGCAGGTCAGTGGACCCTCACTGGGTCACCATGGCTGGAATGGGGTGAGGTCAAGTTTGGGAGAATGTCAAGGGTAGGTGGGATTTAGTTTACGTTCAAAATTACTGTCCCAACAAGAAGGGGTCTCTCATGATCCTCGCTGAGCTGCTGTCCCTGCGGAGGCCAGGACCCCATTCATGTTCCCTCCTTTCCCTTCTCCCTTCTGCCCCTCCCTGCCTGGTGTGGCTTCCCCACCAGGCCCACGGGGGAGTGAAGACTAAGGGGTGAGAGGCAGGGGTGAGGAACGGGCAGCCACCAGCCCAGCAGAGAGCAGCTCCCGGGGACCCTGTCCCCAGGAGCCCAGGGCAGATAGATGTCAGCCCCACCCCGGCAACACAAAGTCTCCCCCAGAGGGATCCAGAGCAGCCAAGGTAAACCCTTCCCCAAGCTTCCAGAAGACACTGTCTACACAGCATAATGGGGCCTGAGTGCTGAGGCCGAGCCCCAGGCACATCAAGTGGGTGTTTGGGCCAGCCCCGGGGGCCAGCAGCCCATGCCCCGGGCCCGGCTGTGCGGCCGGCACAGCTGAGGTGGCACAGGTCTAGGGCCTCGCTTCTCTAAGGCTGTTGCTGCTGGGGAGACAAGGTGACCAGATATATCGGGACCGAAAGTGCTGCTGTGGTGCCTGTGTTACCCTATGGGGCTGCGGGCAGTGCGGCCAGGGGCCAGAAAGGAGAGACAGAGGTTAGAGACTAGAATCATACCCGGGCCACAGTTCAAGTATTCCCGGTCACGGGGACAGAAGAGAGTGTCCCTGACTCCTTCCAGGCTCAACTGCCACCAGCCCCCAAAAGCTCAGTCCAGCCGTGAACTCACTCTCCATTGCGTCCCCTTGCCATGCCTCCTGGTCCCAGCTAACTCCAACCTAATCACCACTTGGACTCGCCACTGGAACCTTGACTTGCCACCAGCCGTGGTCTTAACCCCAACCCTAAATCTTTCTTCCAGCTCTGACCAACCATGACCTAAGCCCACCCACCCTGACTAATCCCAACTTCCAGCCTAACTCTGACCCCAACTGTGGCCCCCAGCCACCGGCCTTAACCCCACCGGAGTCACTTGAACCAGGGGGACGCAGGACCAGGTTCAAGGTCTCCTCTCCCACCTGTGCATACAGACTAGGTGGCTTTGTCTTCACCCTCACCACTCACACGAGCATTAACGCGTGGAGGCAATCTCGAACCACATCCACCCTCAGTCCCCTAGTCTCCTAAATGCAGCCTCAGCACAGTAAGGCGCCCAGGGACACATACACACAGCACTTACACCTGCCACGGACTCACACCTGCCCTGTGAACACAGATCCCGTCTGGGCTCACTGCTTCCTCGGCCCTGCTGCTGACTAATGTGAGCAGCCCGTCTTGGGGCCCCAGCCTTCTGGGAAAAGTAGTCTCCCACATTCATACCCACTTCCCTCGAGCAGTGAGGCCTGAAGTGTGGGCAGCAGAGTTGGGGACCAAGCCTCTGCAGGAGCCCTGTGTACCCGTGGACTGGCTGGGTGCAGGGCTGGGCATTCAGTCCTGAAAGGTGAGGTCAGGCAGGGGACCTGGATGGCGGAATTTATCTTCTAGATAGAAATCCATACGGGGAGGGAGCCTGACTCACCCTGACAAAAGCCACTTCCTNAGTCCTGAAAGGTGAGGTCAGGCAGGGGACCTGGATGGCGGAATTTATCTTCTAGATAGAAATCCATACCGGGAGGGAGCCTGACTCACCCTGACAAAAGCCACTTCCTCCACTCTGGAGGGACAAAGGCCAAACAAGCCCCTCTTCACCTCTCTCAGATTTCCCGCATCCGGCTTGGTCCCATTGCCAGCCCTCAGGCCTAGGGAGCTGCTGCTGAGGCCCCTGGTCTCGGCCACCCAGGCCCAGCCAAGGCCCAGCAAACTCTCTGAGGCAGGCTATGTGGGCTGCCTGCTGTCCCTAGTTAGCAGAGGGGGTCATATGCTGTACTCTGGGGGCCCCAACTCAACTCCCACATGCCACGGGGATGGGGTGCAGAGCTCCAGAGGTGAAATCTAACCCCAGACAATTCCCAAAGCAGGAACCCCACCATGAGGCTGGATGTTATTGTGGCGGCCCTCTCTTCCTCCTTGCACCAAACAATCTCAGGCTGCATATTTCCGGCCTTTTATTCTGGAGCTCCAAGATAAAGGTGATTGGAATATAGATCACCCATGACTCACTCCCCCAAAGCCCAGAGAAGCCCGCCCCACACGGAGCCCCAAGTGGGGGCAAGGCCCTCTCCCAACTGCTACACCCACAGGGAGGCTGTGTGGAAGCGTGGGCAGGGGGTGGGTGCAGTCACCTTTTGGGTGCTATAGAAGGGGTCCAAGTCCTCCAGGGGCTCCCCGAGGAGCTCTCGGGGTGGGTTGCCATAGAGATCCGGCAGCTTTTTGGAGGCCTGCAGGTCCAGCTGGGGCCGGAGAGCCTCCTCCTCGGGCAGCCCGTCGTGGTTCTCCTGCAAGGTGGCTGAGCCTCGGGCCTGCTTCTCTGCCATGCGCTTCTCGATGGCTGCCAGGGACTCCCGGGTGAACCTGTGGAAGCTGCTGGTGCCCCGAGGTAACAGGAAGTCTGCCATCTTCTCATTCTGCTTCTGGGGCCCAGGCTGTCCTCGAGCTGCCTGTGGGGAAGCTGGAAGACACAGACACCAGGCCTGATGCTATACCCAGGGCCAGAGGGCAGGGTGGCCAGGACTGCTGGGGAGTGGCCGCTGTCCCAGCGAAGGGAGGGTGTGGTTTGCAAAGATGCTCCCACACCACAGGTCCCCACCTCTCTCCACAGGCACACCTGGTGGATGCCGGCCTGGGCACACCCAGAGCCCTCCAGGCTGCAGGCCATGGGCTGTGCAAGGGGACCCGCAAGAGGGTTACTTCTCCCTTGTCCATCCCAAGGAGCATGTCTGAATACAAGTGGGCAAGAGTGATGATGTCATCGGAGCTCCTTCATTCTGCCCCACGCAACACAAAGAGGAAACACTGGCATCTGTTGGCTCCTTCACCAAACACACTTTGAGACACTCCTCACAACTGTGTGACACACTGTGGATTGAGAGGGACACACCATGGGGCAGGGGCGGGTTCTGTCATCTTTTATCTCAGCTCTCTGGAAGGGCTGGTCCTGAACAAATGAATGATGGACTGAGTTACAAAGAATACACAGTGAGGGGGAAGGGCATTAGAAGGCACCCAGTGCAGCCCTTCCTCCCAAGCTTGTCCCTTTTATAGGAAACCCTGGGACCCTATGAGGGTAATCAGATGCCTCCTGGGCCAAAGCCTGCGCTCTGCATTTCTTTTCCAGGCAGATCCCCAGCCAGTATGGTGGGGTAACAGGGTGTCTGGTCTCCCCACAGCGCCACGGGCCTGCCTGGCGGAGGGGGCCCGGACTTCACGTGGGGCCTGGAGGTGCCAACATCTGGCAATAGATGAGGGCATCTGTGTCTGCCAAAAGAGATCCAGGCAAATCCTGTGGGCTCCTGGAAATAGCTGAGTAACAACTTTGGAGTTGTCATCCAGATGTTGGCACCCGGGTGTACACAGCTGTCGAGGAGCCCTGCTGAGAGGATCTCAATGAAATCCCCAGGGAAGCTGGGAAATGCTGATCTCAGGGGCCTCAGGCCTCCACTGGCACCCCTCCTCCCCAGTCTTAACAAAGGACTGATCCCAAGGGACAGAAGAACTAGAAAACAGTGACCACTCATCCACCAGGTCGCCCAGCGTGTGATGCCAAACCGGGAGAATGTGGCCCCTGGTGGCCTCAAATGATCCAGGACTTGGTGTGAACATGCTCTGCCCATGACACAGCGACCGAGGAATGTACTCCTGACTGTCCCACCAAAACAGGATGTGGCCGGCACGGCTCCTGACTAGGACACCACCGGGAAGCCATGTCGCTAATTACATCAAACCCGGGAATGGCCAGGCACCAGCTCGAGGGGGCAGCGTGGACACCTGTTGGAGATCTCTGCCAGGACAGAATCCTTTCTGTCAGCCAAGGGCCAACTCTGTCTTGATCCTACTCCTGCGAAACATGTCCCCAACAACCCCAACGAGCTCGGCCCTGCGTGCAGCCCTCGAAGGAGCCTCGCCCAAGCACGATGGATGGCTGTAAAGTAGGCACCTGGCCAGGTGGCGGGTAAGCAGCGAGCAAACACAACACAGGCAGGCCGCACAGGGCGCCTGTCCCTGGGCCGCGCGGCCCGGAATACGTGAGGGCAGGTCAAGGAGGACCTTGAGGTCCCAGAACCTCCGTGTTAAGAACCAGCCTATCCTCAGTCTCATGTTCTCCCGGTTCACTCAAGTCAAATTAAATAAACATCTTCGTTAAAAATAGCAGGAGAGGGAGTAGGTTTCCCTTTGATGAAAGCACGTCTCTGTCTACCTTCCCCCTTCGAACGAGGAGAGGCACGTGTAATGCCCATCACCAAACGGGAATGGTGATTTTGTTTCTTTGCGTGTGGGAATCTGGGTGATTTTAAACTTTCTTCTTTGCACTTTTCTCCAGCGCTTGAATTATTTATGATGATTGTGTATTATTTTTACGAAAACTATGAAGTCATTATCCTTTTGATTTTAAAACCACGCCGGCCTGGATGCGGGGCAGTCCTCTCCATCGTGAGCGATCACTAGGTCTGGAAATCAGGAAGCTCCTCTTTGCTTGAAATTATTTCCTAAAAATAGTGCCTCTGCCTCTGTCTCACTGTATCCATCTGTGTCCACACGCCCGCCACCGTTCTGGAGAGGCACGTGTGCCATGGACCTGCAGATGCTCACCAGTACACACGTGTGTGTGTGTGTGTGTGCAAACTCACACCTGCATATACATCTGTTCTAGTAAAGGTGTTTTGTTTTGTTTTTAAGCCTCACTGGAGGATATCTGCTTTTTTAGTTTCTATTTTGTTAGAGAGAGAGGAAGGGAGAGAGAGACACACACACATCGATGTTAGAGAGAAACAGTGTTGGGTTGCCTCCTGTATATACCCCGGCCGGCGATCAAACCCACAACCTTTCTGGTGTCTGGGGCGATGCTCCAACCAACTGAGCCACGCTGCCAGGGCAGTAAAAGGTGTTCTTAAATCTGTATCCAAATAAACTATTCACACAGATTTGTCCACGGATCCTAAGTGTACAGGTGGATGAACTTCCACAAACTGAACACGTCTGGTAACTAGCATCAGGCCAAGAAACAAATTGCTCCCAGCCCCTCAGACTGGGGTGCCCTCCAATCACTAGCCTCCTTCACCAAGGGCGATACTCTCCTGACTGCTAACAGCACAGATTAGCTTATCTACGTAGTTCAGGGGCTCCTAACGGACCTCTCGGAGGGATGGGGAAAGAATTCAGGGGGAAATTGCATCTTGTTCTCATTAACCTCTCCCTGAATTTTTGTATTTCCTCCCACTATGAATGTATGCAGCAAAATGGAGGTGTTTAGCCGTCCCCGTGGCCAATAGGACTGTGGCTATGTCCCTGTTCCATTACAGGTACTGCAGGCATCTGGAATATCACTAATGCCCATCGATACTTCAAAATTACAGTACTCATCAGGCCTGCCCCCTGATCTTATTATTTGATATATTAATAAAGAGGCCCTGAGGATGGGGCATTGGGTGTTCAGAAGGGTCTTGTCCCAGCTGGCCGCAGCAGAGCACCCTTGGGGTTGAGTGGTTTCTGAAACCAGATTCCAGATGAAGTTCCCTGCTCCCCAGCAGCCAGGCAGCCTTGGGTTCCAAAGTAAACCAGCCCAGGGTGTCCTTTGTCTCTGGGCCCCGCAGGCGGCTCAGGGTGGGCGGGCAGGATCCATTAGCTCCCTTGTTCCTGCACCTGGCTCAGGCCCTGCCCTTCCTTCAGCAGCTCAGGGCCCACGCCCTGCTGTGGCTGAGACTGGCTGAGCCCTGGCTGCCAGGTTTCCGGTGATGCCACAGTAACAAGGGGTTGGGGGTGGTCTAAGGATGCTCTAGGCTCAGGTGCAGCCATACCTCTTAGGTCTAAGAGGTCACATCCCCAGCTTTCCAGGGAGGACCAACCCCCAGTTAGGGAAGACCAGGGAGCCTCTCTTGCTCCAACACGCAGGGGAGCGTGGACTTGATCTGATCCAAAGACTACAGCTACTCTTCCAGATGCCAGCACTCCGTGACACTCTTCCCCAGCCTAGGACAGCTTCTCCATCAGCAATGACCCTGCAGCTCCTCCCCAGGCTCAGACAGCTTCTTCCAGCTGACCTGGAAGTCTTCCTGGGCCAGTCGTCCCTGTCCTATCAGCTTCACTCAAGCTCTGGGGACCCCCTACTCCATCCTGTCCCAAGTTCATCAGCTTCTGGTTGGCGGGTACATCTCTCCCCAAGTTCTGCTGGCTCCCAAGAATTAACAGAAGCAAACTGTGAACTCTCCTCTTCTAACTGGTTCCTCCTAACATCCTTCCCTCTGACCTGGGCTACAACCCCCACCCTCACAAACATCATGGCCTCCATCCCCAGTGCCATTGCCTGGGGACAGACCTCCCTGTCCCATCTGGGACCATGCAGATCCCGCCTGCAGCCCTCGACCCCTTCCTGGCCTCTGCTGCTCTCTGACAGTCCAAGCCTGGCCCCCCCAAATCGCCTGGAAGACTCTTCTTAGGACAGGGCTGCCCCACCCCTCCCCACCCCTCCTCTGAGTCACTGGCCTGAATGTATAGGTATTCACATCCGGGCAGAGATGCTATGGGGATTGAATATTGACTGTTCACATCTGAAAATGGACCCCCTGTGCTGTCTCCTCTTTCTGTCTCTTCCTGAACACACAGGGCACACAGCTGGTGCTCAATCAATGGTGGTTCCAATGCCCTGACAGGCAACACGGGAGCCTGTACAGCGGTGGGCACTGTCCAGGTGAAGTGACGCTCAGGACTTCCCTGGTTTTAGCACTAAAATTCCTGCCTCCCGAGACACCCTTCAGTCTTGGACACACCAGGATACCGGGTCATCCTAAGCGTGAGGAGGAACCTGACTCCAGCCTAACCCCTCCCTGCAGCCCCTTCCTGCCCACTCCCCTGCCCATCCCCAAAGCAGGTACAGGCCTGTGTCCTGAGTCAGGTCCGTCATTTTGGTCGCTTGGAGTCAGCCTTGGGAACACAACATGCAAAGAATATTCTCTGCCATGTAAATTTATGCAAAGCGCCCTGTGGAAGTGGTTCCCAGGCTTCCTAGAAAATCTCGGCAGGCTTCCTAGAAAATCTCAGCTGGCTTCCTCTGTGGCATGCCCTTCTCCTGCCCTGAAGTCCGGGGTGACCTCTGGCTGGAGCACCCACCACACTGGGGATGCATTCCACCCGCGCCTGGCCCTGTGGCACTGCCTTCCACTTCACCTTCAGAGAGAGGGTGTGGGTGCCCTCAAGGCAGGGCTCACCCCCCACAGGTGACTGTGAGGGCACCAGGAGCGACTTCATGTCTTCCTCGAGAACTCGTTAAAACCAATTAACATCTCAACTTGTGGATTCATCTTATTAATTGAATGATTCATTAAACATTTAATCAGCCCCCACTGTGTAGAGGGTACTGCAAATGACATCATAGACTACTTTTCTTCCCAAGGTGATGGATCCCAAGTCATCAGCCAAGAGACTCCGCAATAGCTTATAAGGAAATTTCCACTC